TTTGGTCTGGAAATTATCTTGGCTTCTCTGGAAATGTCTGTGTTTGTTGGACAGTTGACAGTGACGAGTGTTGTCTCATGTTTTTGCTTGTACCGATTGATGAACAGTGTTTATCATTTTTGTGGTTTTTGAGACACCCATACCACAAACCTCCCGACAGCAAATGGAATTCTCCAATACGGCTAGGTGCACTATCAAATATTTCATGTATAGGTTCGTCAGAAGGCGTTTGACTATGAATCGTTTCTTTTAATGCGCATGCCGATTATACTTAATACATAATAATGTTGATTCATAAACGAATTCACTTCTTTTCTTTTACTGTCAACAATGCCGTGACCTTACAAATGTTACTTGGATCAAAACAGATGATATCTCCAACAAATTTGCTGTTTTGAATTTCATTTATCTCACCTGATGTAGCATCGTAGTATAAATTAATATAATTCTTTTATATTGCAACTTATCTGTTTGATGTGTTTTGCGTCATGAGTTGCAAAAATTTGGGTTGAACAAACTATCTATCCGCCAACTTTCAGTTACTCACAGGTTATAGAGAAAACCGTTGAAAAATACTAATCTGATTCACGTGCGCACAGTTCGCATATTGCTATGAAACTTCCTTTTTGACAGGATGAAATGATTTACCGATCGATTACCTCTAGTCAGACTCGTTTGGGCGGGCGGGTGTCTGTCTTTATCGTTGACCGGATCTGTTGCACGATCTAAGGTAAAACCCATTTGGAAATTCGCAGCCCCATTTCCATGATCGCCTGACTTTTTCGCATGAAAAACAATTATGATGAGAAAATTAAGTATTCCATATTCATCCACTTACTGTCTGGTTGCGTAATCATCGTCGATTAACTTTCTCTCTCTCCCTCACTCAGCCAAACCAAGACTAGCAATTTCAAGAATGGTGTCATGTCATACTCATTTGGTCGTGTTCTACGCTTATGCGCAACGTCCAGTACGCAGCCAATCGTCGGGGCATCCAGAATGAGCTTATTCACCAGGTTCTACCGATCGATAAAACGAGAACGTTTTCTCTGATCTTCTGTCTAGAGCTTGTCACTGATATTTTTGGCCAGATTTGTTCAACCAGCTGGAACAATGCGAGAACCACAAAAGGAAAAAGTGGGACTCACTTGAACCCATTCCATTTCTTCGTTTATCTCATTTAGCACCCCGTAGGCTTGATGTTTCTGATCATTCCAACAACCAAGATTTATCAGATTTCGGCTCATCTCGGTATGAATAGCTCGCACGTATTTCACGCATTCACTGGCAATGGTATGCAGATCACTCATGACCAAGCATTCGGTTGCCTCGGTCGACGAAATCTCAGTCAGATTCTGCGCCCCGTTGTTCGTCAAGCACGTGACCTCTACCAGATTAGCCCATCGATCCAAATGATCCAATTCGTCCTTGATCCGTTTCAAGGTCACTTCGATTTGTACGGTTTGTTCTGTATCGCAGGTATTCAGTTCAGCTAGACGAAAACATAAACTGTCAATCAAGTCATGCACATCGACCAAACAATAAAGCCAATCCTCAACCGCTTTCAAGCAACGAGTTCGGAGCTCAAATCGGGACTGTAGTTTTGACCAACGATTGGCTAAATTGGTCCAACGAGTCCCTCGATCTACAGTTTCTGCTGTATGTTCTGCACATCGCTGAAGCTCAGCCAGTACACCTCGAAGACGTTGAGATCGAATCTCCACATAAGCCTCGGCATCCGCTAACCAGGCGGCGTGTTTCCGACGGGCTGTGGTGATTCGATACAGTTTCGATGTCAGATTTGGTGCGTGGAAATCTTTCAAACTGGGCCTTGATGCAACTTGCACGAAAACGTCTTGCATGAAAGACATATCGAGCTGAAAACTGACCGCATCGGATCGTTCTGTAACGCACAGCAATTGCTCGTTTTCTGCCAGCCAAGCGGCAAAAATGGACAGTTTACGATCAAATCGACGACCAAGATGTTTCAGATTGGCCTGTGAAATTAATGGGAGAAGGTAGGGATCGGCGTTTCCGTGTTTATCTAATATCGGGTAAAAATATATTCCAACGCCTGTGACAAAGACCAATATGAACTTTGTGTCACGCAATGGGTTTCTCATAAAAACATTTTCGGACACACTAGACAATCTCCCTGGAACATGTACACAATCAATCGTTCATTACGCTCGGTGTACTAATAAAATTTACCAAATATCAACAAATAATTTTCGATTATTTTTCACTTTCATTTACTTAATACATAGATAGCCCTGTGAGTATATCCTCGTCCATACTGTTCAATAAATCTGTTCGATCGGGTTTTGAATTCAGAGTACTGGAGAGCGCTCACTGTAACTTTGATCCACAAAATCCCGCCTTCACCCGGGTTGTTTGTTTTCGTAGTCCTTAAATTTGTCTGTCTCCAAAGAAACAGAACACGAATTTCCTAATTTTATTCTGTTTTGCAACAGTATCTCTTACCCCCCCCTGACCGGGGGAGCCATGGAAACTATGTGGTTGGTTGAAAATCATAAAATGTTTCCTGCTGTACCTAATGTTGTAGCTAATGCTCAATTCCGCGCACGTTACCGAGTCCACTTCCTAGCCCGAACAGTTTCACTGATTATAGTCTTTTGGTTATGAATATGATTTTATAATCAGACCAGGAGAATAGTTTTCCTCACCGCAGTCAGCAAACAAATGTCCAAGTGTGAATGTCAAACCGCTTGATGTCAGCTATACCTCTAATTGCTGTTCAATTGCCATTTATTTTTCCAATACATATATATATATATGTGGTATTCCAGTTAGTAATCCTGAAAAAGCTTTACGCATTTGCATATGATAACAGTTTTATGCCAAATCATATCTCCTTGTGAATCTCTGTTCTAATCTATCCAAGTTGCAAACTAACCGAACCACGTTTCACATCATTTCTTCGCCCAGATCAGAGGGAAGCGAATATATCTTGCTACTGGTTGTAAATTCCGACTACGTCCCTCGAGAATTGGTTTGTGAAGTGGCTCTCCTATGCGTGGCCTGACCGAAACCGAGTAGATAATGAACCGTGCATCATCCTCCGAGTGTGAAATCGAACGATTGCAGTCTATGATGACCAAATACTTGCTTAAATTTAGTTTCAATCACCTTCTGCTAAACAACAATCGTTTGTTGGTATTGAATATAGAACAAATGATCCATAGGACTTTGAATTATCAACCTCTTTTCCTTAACGATGGCAGCAGCACGAGCAGCACTACCACCACACCCACCACCACCGACACCACCACCAACACCGACACCTCACCACCACCATGACCACCTACAACAACAGTAATAACAACAAGCCCACAACAACCACCCGTATCAGTCGTGAAATTCCTTTTTTTGCTAGAGAAAACGAAGAATTTTTAAAACTCAACATGGTCAGTTTATATGTCGGGTCATTGCAAATGTTTAAGCCATCACAACTGTTCACTAGGAAAGAAATCTGGCGATTTCTTATCAGTTAGATGAGCGCAGTCACAAGATGAAATAGATGTTTTAACCGCAGGAATGTGTGATGTAACAAAAACGTCCTGGCATATCTATCATCGTTTGGGGTAATTCAATCAAATCTCGACAGGCCTTGATAATAGTCAAAACTACAGAACCTTGCCATCTGCAAAATAAACATGATAGCCAATATAAAACCGTGTTGCCGAATACAGCAGGACATGAGGCATGAAGTGGGCAATATAGGAATCAGTAATTCGAAATGTTTCTCCTAGCAATATGTAATCAATTACATGACCGAAAGAATACAGTATCCCTAATTTACTTGCAACACAGCCACCAGGATTGGTAACAAAATTGCTATGGCGGAGTATACAATCGAGTTAGGCTGTTCTGTTTCCTTCACAAAGGGTACAACTAGCCAATTGGACTATCGCTTGATAAACTGTCAGTATCTCTTGCACAAAACAGCACCGCTACCTGATCGATTGTCCAACAGGCTCGGAACATGATGGCCTATAGATAGAGCAGGACTGACCCAACCTATTCCGGGCAGCACAGTTTTCCAGACATGTTCCTCTTTGTTTTGCTGTTAGAAGACACGACTGGACTGCTCAGCAAGAAGTCATGCGAACATACGATTGTCTTGGGTTTTTAGTTATCAACTAAGAAAACAGACAGTCACATTATGCTAACAAAAATCTGGGATCGGTTATAACGTTTTGGGAGCCTCTGAGAGCTCTCTCGAATGAGTTATCGTTGGCTTTCCGTGGATAGAAAACGATGTTCGTGGATCCTCTTTGTTACATCGTTGTCTTTCTCATTTTTGTAGAAAAAAAAACACTTTTTCGATGGTAAATATACATAACACATCGGAATATACTGTTACAAACAATTGTCAGAAATCTTACAATCTAAATGTTTGTTGTATAGCTTTCGAACAATTCATCAAAGACATTCAAAGATAATTGGATCGGTGGAATTTCATCTGTTCCGATAAACCACACTGAATGCCAATGCCTGTACGATGGAACATCGGGTTACATCATCAAAGTGAACAGTGATGATGATGTGATAAATAAGCAAACACCCTGAAAAGGGCGAAAAACGCAGTGTGGGAAAATTACAGCGGGATCAGTGACGGACAAGGTTTTTACATAACTTTTGTTGAATCGCTTTGCTACACAACAAGTCACAAGCACACTTGTCCTAAGCAGAAGGGACTCCACCCCGGTGAGGGCTGTTTCGACCAACCGTTCACTTCATGTCGACTCTTGGACCATCGCGACAAGTTTCAATAACCCACAGCAGTCTGTTTCGTTGATTTTCGTGCGGTATGAGATTCCGTAGATCGCGAATCACTCTGGAATATAGTTATGGCCGATAGTATCCCAGTTAAATTTGTCAACCTCATGAAATCCTACTATTCCAAAACTAGTGCCCGAATCCGCATCTACGGCTAGGAGTCGTGCGTGTTTACGTTAGGGTTTGGAGTGCGACAAGAGTGCCCTTTGTCCTCAGTGTTGTTCAGCTTTGCCATTGACTAAATAATGGATCGTTCGATGGAAAGATACCAGGGAAATCAGATCAATCCGAACTTATGGCTCACCGAATTAGAGTTCGCTGATGATATGATCGTCTTTGATGAAGACATATCCAACCTCTAAGTAATCGTTGACCACATCAGTCGACAGGCCTTCGAGATCGGCCTGGAGGTGAATACATCAAAAACCAAAACTTTTGTGACAGTCTCGATTCATCCCGAAGATACTTCACTACTAAACGGCAAGCCTATCAAATTCGTCGAATGCTTTAAATACCTGGGTTCAATCATACTCCCCAACTGCCAAGCTAAAGACGAGGTGAAAGTGCGCGTCGACGCTGCGAGAAGGGCATTGTTACAGCTGAGAAATTTCCTTTGGTGTAGAGGTGAAATCAGCCTAAAGACAAAATTAGGAGTTTTCTCTGCAGCAGTCCGTTCTTTTTTGTTATCGGGCTGTGAAACCTGGTCACTTAAAGTCGAAGACTGTCGACGATTAAAAGTCTTTGATCACTGGTGCTTAAGATTCATTATGTGAGTACCATGGAGGGATCAGCTTTCAAATGAAACGGTCAGAAATCGGTATTGTAATCTTCTGCAGCTGCGGACGCTAATAAAACGCCGGTGACTACAATATTTTGGTCACACTTTTCGTAAGTGTGAAAGCGACCTGACCAAAGCCGTCTTGGCATCACCTCCCTGCGCTCACTAGCGTTGTCGACACGATGGGAAGCTGAAAACCTGGCTTAATACGGTACGAAAGGATACAGAAAACATTGGTCTCCGCTTTGTCTACGGCATTCATCAATGGAAGTCAGTCTGGATCACAATCTGCCCTGGTCTTGCCGCAGATCGCCAAGCATAGGCAACCGCAATTCGGGATATCCTTGAACCCGGCCTGTCCTCTCCCAGGAGCCCGACGCCGTACTGTAAAGTCGAAGTAAGTTCGTTTTTGTTTCTTTCTTCATTGAGCACGTATACGCACCAGACCTTGATGATTAAGCTACCACCATGGGACACAAGAGAAAAGATTGCATTTGGACGACAGCATTGTAACATACAATCTCCAAGGCGAAGGGATGGTGACTAGCTCCGTTTTATTTCATTACCGAGCAAATCTGACCTTGCCGCACAGAACATAAATAGCCTAGTCATGCTTACTGCACTGTAACTGGCGCCTAGTTCTTTACACATACAGCGAATTATCCCTCACACTTGGAAAAAGGTCACGGGCGGTCAAGCAAAGACTTGGCATGAGGTTATGAAAACCCTAGCCATGAGGCTGGATCACAAAGGTCCCGTTAGGCTCCCTGTCAGGGGACACCGAGATCATGGTCACCGATGGTTAGAGTGTCGCAAACAGTGGCGCTCATGCATCTACTCATTACTCTCTTAACACGACTCTTTATAAATTCTCCATCTTTCTTTTGAAGTTGCTTTCAATATTCCAATATTAATTCTGCTCTTTTATTCAAATGGGCGATAAAAAGTGAGAAACCAAACCAGCTCACGAGAGTGCATGATTGCATGGTTGAAAAAGTTGAACTGAACTGAATGTGGTTCAGCTGCACAATGTGCCCAGCGATTGAGTAACAGGGGTGTGTTTTGAACCAAGTGGCACATTGTAAGCGTAGTTGTTCACACACATATTAGAACCAGGTTGAAGCTCCTCCAATGGGCTAAAGTGCTTTTCTTCCACTGTTAGCTATGGATAGTACCATTCATGAGAAAGTAAAAATTCCGAGTTCCATCTTCAAAAATATAGCAAACACTTCCGTGGTTACATAGTTCATTAGTACCATGAACAAAAATGCTCCCAACGACCAAACGTCACATATGGCCTCTGCTGAGGAAGCCCTACTCACTGCCTTCTCGTGTTGGGACGGTATTTTCCCACCAAAGTTAGAGAACGAAAAGTCGAGATCCGGGGCTATAACCGAGTTGGTGGACCAATGGTAGTTCACCAAAGGGGAGTTGGCCAAAATCTCTGATTCCCGACCAACCATGAGGAGTCATAAGAACCACACCCACACCTTTTCGGTTGTGACAATGGTCACCGGCTCAATTGGGCATCGAGGTGTATTGGGCACCTTGGACGTCTGACCCCATCCAAATGGACACCGACTACCGATGAATTGCGGTTTTCACACACTGCTTGACTCGCTGCCTTGCAGGTCAGGCTTTGGCTAACCGGAGGCTCCGGTTGTGGATTCCTCCAAGAAAATCCAACTGCCTTGGCCTGGGCAACCTGGCAGTATTCCGCCCACATACAAATCGTGGAAAGTTTTCTTTTCCATAAAGCATATTGAACCATGATTTGCTTGGCACATAGTCTGGCCTCAAAAAGGTAGGATATACATATATATATATACAAATTATTCCTTCACACACAATGGCATTTATATTCCATAACTTACAAGCTGACTCAGTTGCCAAAGTAAGCCACATCCAGCATTACAGATAAACAAAAATTCCATTATTGACAACGCAATGCACGACATTTGCTCACTTGTTTGGTCAGTTCATCTAAGATGGTCAAATGCATGGATCGTTCGACGCTGATCAATTCCTTCCACTTTCCATCCACATCCGACGAACGAAATCCTTCCGGTGGATAATATCGATTGTGTCCAACTGCCAGTTGACGAATGTGTATGGTATGCAACAGGAACTGGACGCATGGCACAACAAATGATGTGATTTGATTGGGTAGAACAGACTACCGTGGATGAAATGGCATTTTATAGCAACAGCAACAACAACAACAACAACAACGGGAACAGTTTGAGNAGTTTGAGCAAAACGAAGTAACCAAAACGGCAAGCTTCTGAGCCGGGGTCATGCTAAGTATATCAACTATTGAGGTGTCAATAAACCGATGACAGTGACAAGGATGTAATTTGGTGAACAATGTTCATAATCCTCGGTCTGTTATTGTGTCCCTTTTCTCGAAAAACCAATTCACTTTAAGCGGATATGTGAACCGATTATCATTCACTTTTTTGTGGTTTCACGTTTCGATTTATTTCAAAGTTTGCAAAGCCGAATCAATGAACCATTTGTGTTACATTTAAGATTTTTTTCTCACAAGACTATAGTATGTTATACGGAACCCGTGAAGCGGTAGGAGATGTGTCAAATAGTTTGACGATCCATCGGTACATCGTTCGAAACCTTTCCAATCAATAAGTGGTGCTGTGTGCGACCGTCACACTTTCTCACTTCTTGAACAAACCGTGAAACATCAAGATTTGTAGAACATGCAGATACGTTTCGATCTGACCCGCTTACAGTTTATGGATCGAGGTCAAAGGAATACTGTTCGTGGCTAAAGCATTACAGGTTTTGGCAATAGGATCGTGGTTTGAGGCTAAAAGAACTGTGAAATTTGGCTAAGACTTGATGAAAACACTGTGGGATATGGCATCAAAACGAAGTCAATGTTCAATCCCAAAATTAAAAGAAAACATCTAAATGGTGGGCAGGAAACAAACAAAAAATTCTTTTATTTCAAAATTTGACCGTATTTTTTCCCCTGTTTCTGTTACTTTATTTCGTGGTAAACTTATTGTTATTTTAGTACCGAATCTGTAATGAGTAGTATATGAACGAACGGGCAAAATTGCTCAAAAGTGCACGACCGGTTTCTCGGTTCTTGTCGCTCGTCAGGTATGCTTATCCGATGATTCTTGGTTTGTTCAGTATTATACTTGAGCCCCCAATGTGAATTATGCAACACAAACCTAATTTTGCACCTTGGAGAGTGAAATTTTAGTCAAACAACCAACCTCAACCAACTAGAGACTTGGGCTTATGTTCTATATTCCTATCATCGGTAGTATATATTGAATTGAGTTAACAAGCGGTTCAGTATGTTCAACACATTTTACAGTTCTACCGGGCATTGTCTTGGGCTCCTTATGATACTCTGAACTTGCATTGTACGCCTCCGGGAAGGTGTCAATCCAATTTATCTCAGACCAATGCCATTGTGCAATACTCGTTCCGATCGTTTTTCTTTCTGTTTATAAGCATTATATTGATAATACACCCGGCCCTTCTCCCCCCTCCCTGGTGTTCTGTATTGTGATTATTGAGGTTATCCCTTTTTCTATACATCATACTTACCGGGTAATGAAAACACATCCAAAAGTTTATTTGTGTACGGAAAATTGTTTTCAATGTTTTTTTCTCAGTCCAGAAAATTGTCTAAGTGATACATACGTTAGTGCAGACTCGTAGTCACTCGCTGGTGGGACTGAAGGTCACGGATTGTCAGGGTT